CTTACATCTTAAAAATTAAGAGTAATATTATTTTAAAATCATATTATTTTAATAAACATTTATTGAAGAAGATTAAAAATTTTATTTTTAAAATATAAATTAAGATATTTTTTAATTTTTTAAAAATAAAATGAATAAACATTAATTTATATGTAAATATATTATATATATGTAATAAAAAAATTGAAAGAATTGCACTTGGTCTCGTAACCAAATGACTCCAAACCGGATTGTAAGGTGCATTTCCCTTATCTTAAAATTGAGATTCAAATTTCTCCGCTCTCAATTGTAAATCGTTAAAAAAAAATTGGAGGAATTATCAATATTTGGCCGCAGTAGAATTTGAGGCCCAGAAATAGCGGTTAAATAAACGGATATAAAACACAAATACGAATGCCACAAAAATAACGAGAGAAAATCAAACCGCACACGTGGAAACACCAGTATAGGTGTGGGGAAAGATTTTTTACGACGGAAGTCTGATAAATACTAATAGCGACGCCCCCTCTGCATCCCCTTCGAACTCACTCCACCCAACGAGTTTCTGAGTTCAAGTCTGAGTCACCAATGGCTATCGAGGTGAGTCTCCTTCTCTGTTAAATATCGGAGCTTCTCTGCAACTAAGATGGGGTTAATTTGTTTTTTGGTTCCTTCCGTTGCAAAGCAGGCATGGTTCATGGATGAAAACAATGAGGACAAGAGGCTTCATCATAAACGCAATCCCAACGAGCCCGTTTCTTTGGAGCACTTAGCAGGTCATTCATATTTCTTCTCTGAATCTCTGGGCCTTTTTCTTTTCTGGGTTTTATTTTGATTTTGCTTCTGGGTTGACAATTTGAAGTTCAAAATGCAGAGTTGGGGGTGTTATATTGGCACTTGAACCCTGAAAATTATGAGAACGATGAGGAATTGCAGAAAATTAGAGAAGACAGGGGTTACAGCTACATGGTATGGTGCTTTAATGTTGTTAAATTTCTTTGCTTTGATTGGAATTCAGTGTTTGCGTTATCAGCTTGTCTTGAATAAATAAGAAATCAGTGGTTGGCATAAAAAATTAGCTGCCCAATTAGCTCCTTTGCCTGTTCATCCCATCATATTTGTAGTTATTTCATTAACATCTTTTGTTTTTTTTCCTGCTTCTTTAGCTACGTTGCTAGGCATCATGAACTGCTAATAAGTTAGTTGCTTGGAATTGATGGTTTTGAACCCCTAACCTTTACCCCAAATCCAAGGTTTTTAGGTTAGTGGATATAAAAGAAACGAGACTGATTGTCCCTGCTTCATTCTTGATTGAAAGATTTGTGTGTGTGTGTGTGTAATAGAAATAGCTTGATTGACCTTTTTGTAAAGTTTCTCCTTGATGATCCCTCATTTTTTCATGCTAACTTGTGGCCTTGTGTGTTACTAGCATAAGAATGAAACTCAGAGGTGAGTACTGAAAAAGGTTTTGATCTGGCTGCTGGTAGTCTTTTGATTCAAAGGTAGATGCTAATTTAAATCTGAGGCATGGAGTAGTTATTGTGATAGGTTTAGTTGTGTTTATAGAATTAAGATTGTAGGATTCAGACACAAGAGGAATTTGTCTCTGGTAATTTGGCCCATGATAGGGCAGGATTTGGAACGTCAAAATAAAAGCTTGCAGGATCGTCCAAAAGTTTTGCTAGAAAGTCATTTTGTTGCTTTCCGGGTTTCACATTCTCTAAACACGGTGGCATTGGCAATAGGAAGATGCCTTTTTAAGCCTTCCCCTTAGGTTTGTGCGATAATGAATTCATAGGGACATTAAGACATTTTGGTCTTAGCCTTTCTTAGATAATCTGGAAGGTTTTTTTCTTCTTTTTGGCTACTGCTAAGTAAAATGGAAGTCCACATTTGTAGGATTTACTCGATCTATGCCCGGAGAAAGTTGCTAACTATGAGGAAAAGCTGAAGAACTTTTACACGGAACATATACATGCTGATGAAGAGATCCGCTACTGCTTGGAAGGTTGTGGTTATTTTGATGTTCGAGACAAGGATGATCACTGGATTCGAATCTGGATCAAAGCAGGAGATCTCATTGTTCTTCCTGCTGGAATCTACCACCGGTTCACTCTTGACACCAGCAACTATGTTAAGGTGAGGAAAATCTCTGGTGTTTCTTGCTTTTAATCCAGATACAAAAGAACTGAAATTGATATATGTCATTTAATGTGCACTTGTACAGCTGATGAGGTTGTTTGTGGGAGAGCCTGTATGGACAGCGTATAATCGGCCGCAAGAAGAGCACCCAGCAAGGAAGGAGTACATTAAGGGTTTCACTGAGAACGTTGGGGTGCCACTAAAAGCTCATTGAGCTTCTGAGTAATCTCGATTATGTTATGGTATCTCTCTATATATGCTAAACTTTGTCAAACCTTGTGAATTTGAACATTGAAATGATATATCGAACCCAATTTAATACAATAAAAATGTAATATATATTCTATGCATCTATCTTTTATGTTATTGGTAGAATCCTATATTTTATGTGGTATGTATCTGTGGAAACATATTCTGTTTGAAAAATGAGACATGCTTCATGAATTACAGGGTTTGAATATAAAGGATGGACATTAGATGTCAATAGTCGTACCAAAGATGGCATTACATCACCGTAATTCCATAACACGATAAAAGAAGCGTCAACCATAGCATTAGGGGCTAATATGCCTTTAGCAGGACGAACATGGGAATTTGAGAAGGGGATTTCGAACCTAACTCACTAAGTTGAAGAGTTGTAGCAGTTGCACTACTATAAAGTTTAGGGATTTTTCTTGCCACTAAACCCTATACTCCCTATTTCAATGTGATATGAGCATTAAAATACAAATTGGGTAATGTCATTGTAATATGAGAATGAAAAATAAAATTGTGTTGTGATTGTGTCAATGCAATGTGTGGGGAGAAAACCATGACATGAACATTGATAATTTTCCTATTCAAGGTTGTGAACTTCAATTTGTGCAATGTGAATGCAATATGAGTATGATACAATTGATAATCATAGATTATATTTGATTTGATTATTAAAAATAATTGATAATTGTAACTGTTATAACAGTTGATATTAATTTAAATTAACTTATAAATTAATGTTTTTAAACACCTTAACTAGTCATTTAAAAAAAAGAAAAAAACTATAGATTGATAAAATTAGTCAAATCAAACACATCATATAGTGGTAGATAACCATGAAAGATTAAATACAATCTTCCAATAAAACCCACCATCGTTGAACACTGCACTTGTGGACTTGGGTGTTAGAGTACAGGCTTGGGGACACAAACCACTGGTGGGACAGTGGCGAGGTCCCTTGGGGTGGGCTGTGCCCGATAGTTTTGATAGGGCTCACCATGATTTGGCTGAGGGTATTAGGAGTGTTGGTTGCTAGGAGTGATGCTGATAATGGTATCTGGATACTAGGGTCACTTGCTGATCCGGCAGAAACACATTGTACTTAGCGTCTAGGCAGGAAAACAGGAAACCATCATGGCACCATATGATCCGGCATAAACATATCGTACTTAGATATTGCTTCATTACCTGCTTAGCTTGCCTGAGGAGACTGAAAATCAAAAATGTTTTAGTTTCCCAGAGGCGTTATGGCGGATTTGGATTTTGGAATGTGTTCTCTCTGCAATAATGAATGGGAGAGCAGAGGTAACCACTTGCTGTACTTTTCTTGTCCCTTTTCGCAACTGTGTGGACTAAAGTGTTACATAAGACTGGATGGATGGATGCATAATCCTCACTCCTGTGATGCAGAATGGAGATGGCCAAAGGCAAATGCTAGAGGTAGGAACAAGAAAACTGGGGTGTTAAAAGGTGGCTTTTGTGGAGTGAAAGAAAACAGAAGAAAAGCACTACCAGCGATCGATACTGTTATTCAGAATATAATAGCACACTTAAAGAACTGGAATATGGGAATGTAATTTGAGGATTGTAACTGGGAATGTTCAATGTAGTTTGTTTACCCATCTAGCATGGGGCATTGATTGGAATATATAACAGTGCTTGCCAACTAAAAACTTGTTTAATAATAGGGGATGTGAATTTTCAGGTCAATGTGTATAATAAAAGGGGTGAAAGTTTATGAAAAGGCTTAAATATCATCAATAATAATAAATTAATATATGTTAACTTATTAATTATATTTAAATAATTTTCTAATATTTCTCTTTTTTTTTTGGCTGCATGACTTGAAAAACAATTTTATGTAATAATGATATTAAAATTATTTTTGTTTTTGTTTTTTTCTCCTTTCTTGAAATGTCCTTGAATAATAATGTCTAGCACTGGTAAAAAAATCAAATATGAAACTGCAAATGAGAACTTTGTTACCACTTGCTCTATCTTATAATAACCATATGATTATTATTATTATTTTTACAAATTAAGAATTTAAGACAATTTATGTAATATATATTATATTTAACAAAGATATGGTAAAGATAAAGATGGTAAGCACCTGTGCCTCATAAGCCCAATGACATTAGTCATTGTTCAGATGTACTCTCCTTCCTTGGGCAGATTTCAAATCCACCCCCTGTCAAAATGTTCAAAAAAAAAAAAAAGATAAAAGATGGTAAAATTTTAGTAAGAAGGTATATAATTAAATTTAAAAGATAACTATCAAGTTAAAATAAAAAAATTTAAAAGATTAATGGGTATAAGTTTATATTGTAAAAAATTAAGTAAAAAATATTTTAAAATTATATCATTTTAATAAAATGCAACTAAGAAAGATTAAAATAACCTCATTTTTGCTTTGAAAATTATAATATTTTAATCTTTTTAATGAAATTTTATTAAAATAACATAATTTTAAAGTATTTTTTGTTTAAATTTTTATATTGTTAGCTTATACCTCTTTTTCTAAATATTTAGTCCCATTAAAAACTAAAAAAACACAATTACTAGTAAATTGAGATAAATTTTGAGTTAAAAAAAATCAAGAATAATATTTATGTTGGAATCCCATAAGTTCAATAATAAAATAATTTTTAATGATATATAAAGTTGTAAAAAAAAAAAAAAAAAAAAAAAGAAGAAATGCCAATTACTTGGTATCCAATGACATTTTCGTCTTTCCTCATCTGCGGGTGATCCCATTTTATCATATGCCCGCGGATTCTCCACCTCTCAGCAGCGGCATTCGCAAGCGGTGTTTCTGCCGAATTTGTAAGAGATCTTGACTGACGATTCAGGAGGACATGGGCGTCCCGGATAAGGTATCCATCGTTAACTTCTTCTTAATCCCTCGGAAATTTTCTGTTTATCAAAAATTTTCCCAAGAAAATCTGCAGCGTTTGGTTTATGGTAAAATGAGTTGCTTTACAAACATTACAGTTGATTTCATCAGTTTTGGTAGGGGCTTACAGTGTTAATTTCAAAATTTTCAATAATATATGATGAAAAAAAGAAAATGATATTATTCAGGTTTAGTCAATCTCTAATCTCCAGTGCAATTTGTTGCATATTGAGCTTAATTTTTTTCCTTTTTACTATTGAAGCGTTAATCTGCAAAAAAATTTTGATTTTTTTGGATTATTTGGATTGGCAGTTTTAGTATAACTTGGTTAGGAGCTCGATTTGGGGTTGACATAAACTTGCTAAGTTCTGTGAGTGCTTATGCAGTTATACTCATGAATAGCAGTTTAAGCTGCTTGTTATCTGATTATGTACAAGCCATTCAAGTCAATAATAAAGGGATTTATCTGCAGATTAAACCAAACAAAACGAAGTTGATTCAAGGATTTAGTATAACTCTCAAGTGTTTGAAATTAACACTAGTGATGGTCGGAATTTGTGACCATTTTAAATGCTAATTGATTTTGTTTCTCATGGTCTTTTGTCCATTGGGACTTGAAGATGCTATTGAATGTGTTAAATTTAGCTTATTCTGTTCATCCAGCCTTTCTGTCTGTTTTAGGCATGTTTGCTTTGGGCCAAGTGGGTTTGGGCCCTTGGGGGATGCTTTTTTTGGTTTGAATATATTGCTTCTATTTTTGAGAAGGATAAATAAAAAGCATAGTGATGGTGTCTTGTTCATACTCACATTTAACATATCCAGGATCCAAGGGAGGAAGTGATTCAGGCATGGTACATGGATGATAGCGATGAAGATCAGAGACTCCCACATCACCGTGATCCAAAGGAATATGTATCCTTGGATAAACTTGCTGGTAAGGACATTAAAAAGATGTTGTTTTTAGATAAAAAAATCAAGGGCATTTCACTCATTTTATTGAATAATATTTAGAACTTGGAGTGCTAAGCTGGCTATTGGATGCTGATAATTACGAGAATGATGAGGAGTTGAAGAAAATTCGTGAAGAACGTGGATACTCTTACATGGTTTGTTCCTTTACTACTTTTCTTTCAATTCCCAAAAAGTATTTGTAATTGGTGTTAGCTTAAATCAATGGACCATTGTAATGTCCTTGTTTGTGAACAATGAATGTTGATTCTGGAATATTTTTTTGTTTTTCAAATGTAATTGTTACATTCAATTGAACTGCTCAACAGTTTAGTATAACAATCAGTCATCTTCAGACTTTGCGAATTTTTATTATCATTTGCCACTATGTGTACTGGTTCAAATTGTGTATTGTTGTTACCATCACTCTTAGTTATGTATAATCAAATCTCACTTCTTCTTGGAGTACAACTTTAATTCAGTTAATCTTTTCAGGACTTCTGTGAGGTGTGCCCAGAGAAACTGCCAAATTATGAAGAGAAGATAAAAAATTTCTTTGAAGAACATCTTCATACTGATGAAGAGATTCGGTACTGTGTTGCCGGAAGTGGTAGGAATTCCTATGAGTTTTCATTTAGCGGTGTTCTATTCTCACTGTTCTCCTTAATCTTTAAGCCTTCTAACTTTCACTTTGTGGTAGGTTATTTTGATGTCAGGGATCACAATGATCTATGGATTCGTGTATGGGTAAAGAAAGGTGGAATGATTGTTTTACCTGCAGGAATTTATCACCGCTTTACTCTTGATACTGATAACTACATCAAGGTAGAAAAGTCAAGCTACCCTTGCCCAGCTTACTCTTCTAGAATTTCAATGTCTTTAAAATGTGCTTTTATTTCAATGTCTTTAAAATGTGCTTTTACAATAGATGAGTGCCTCTTCCACCTCCATGAAAACCAAGTCAACCTCACAACCACTCATATACTACCAAGTACCAACCTGTTTTGTAATATCTTTTGCAATTTGATGCTAATGGGGATGGCTTTATGTTTCTAGAATGACATTCTTCTTAACTGATGCTAAGAAGTTTAATGATTAAGGCTCCATCTAATTCAATGTAGGACCATCTGAGGTGTTTGCTAATGCCTGTTAAAGTGCTGTAGGGGGTAGTACACAATTTTGATGAGAAAAAAAAAAAGAAAAAAGAACCTACGTTGATGAAAGCTGGAATCCTGGTGTGCATTTGATTGGGTTTCAAACTGCTTTCTCTAAAGCATCTCATTGCTTTTGTGTATTATTTTATTTTTATTTTCTCTTTTTCAAATATTTCTTTCAGTTTATTCACATTAAGCTCAGGCCTCAGGAATTGTCTCTCAACTTTATTTCCTTAGAATAAGCTCAGTTTATGAAGTTCTTGTTCTTGATTTGACATAGATCTGTTATGATTATATGCATGGGTAGTTTTTAATTTTAGAAGATTTATCATCGTTAATGCAGGCAATGAGGCTTTTTGTTGGTGAGCCGGTTTGGACTCCTTACAACCGTCCTCATGATGATCTTCCTGCAAGGTATGATCATGCCTCATTCTGTGATGAAATTTCCACTTTATCTACGGCTTGAAGTAAAAATCATTCAAGCCACTCAATCTTTAAAATGGAATTTTTATTGCAGGAAGGGATATCTTGAAAATTTTGTACAGAAGAAAGGTGGTAACCAGGCTATTAATGCAGCAGCATGAAATTGACACTAGCTCAGTTACTCCTGCGTAGCATTTTAAAGGATACTATACTTAAGAAGGATATAAACAGAAAATAGCCTATATTGGATATAATAAAGGCATTCAAGCCCATATGCTGGATGAGGGTATGGATTGTGGTGTGTGTAATGTGTGTATGTGTATATATATATATATATATGTATGTATGTATGTATGGATGACACCAATGACTTGTTTGGTTTGAGTAAAAGGAGTTCAGTTTCTTTTAAATAAAGTCTTGAATTTAGGTCTTGTGATTAAAGAAACAGGTGTTGAAAGAATTTCCTCTTATAGAGCTTAATGTGATCCGATTTTAAATTAGTTGAAATTTAATATGATTATCAGAGACAAAAATATATATATATATATGTGGATGTCGGCATGGTGTATTTTGACTTATGCCTATCGTTTGTTATTTGTCTGGTATAATTTGTTGCAGATTGGCTACGCGTATTGTGGCATGCTTAAGATGAGTTGTGATACATTTCATTTAAAAATTGAAAATGGTAGGCTATAGAAAATTCACTAAAAATTATCTTTTTATTAATTTTTAAAAAAATTCAAACTTTAATAAAGAAGTGGTAGGCAAACGGTCTTCTACCGCTCTAATAGCATTCTCTAGTATCATCAATGATACATTATCCTTGTAGGAAATTTCTGGTGATCATTTACATGGCTGTAGTGGGGGACCAGAGTGAGATCTTAATCCTCTTACTGTTTCAGCTTTGAACTTTTGGGGGATAATTGGGTGAAAATAATTTCAATTCAGAAAGCTTTTACATTTGATAAATCAAGTACAAGTCGTAAAGTCATCATCTCCTTTTGAAATTCTTCTCAGATTTGTCTCTGTCGGGTATATTCGGCGCTGTTCTACATCCATCGATTATCCTCTCAATCCTAATATTTTATTCTAATCCTCCAATTAGGGTTTTCTTTTCCAAGTGGCTCGTTAATTAACTTTTGGCCATTTGTCTGACTGAAAATTGTTGCAGCAATTTGGCCTTTATTGGGCTAAGGGCCACGTACCCCTCTTGCTCTCGGATACCCTGTCCCCCCTTTCGGTTTAGGGCAAAAACGATCCTACCAGGTTTAAGCAAGTCTTAATTTTTTTTTTTTTTTTTAACTAAAAAGTATTGAATAGTCTGCACACCGAAGTGCATAGCATGATCCATTGAATAGAATGTAAAATTTGTGTATATGAGTTTTATTGAAAAAATGTATATTTAGTTTAAAATTAAATGATAATAAATAAAATAATTCTTTTTATATTTATCTTAGAATTTGTTCACTTAAGAGACCTCATGTCAAGCCTATTAGGATTAGAACTCCCAAATAGAACTTGTATTTTGATACCATATAAAAAAAAATTATGCATATAAATTTTAATACAAAATTTATATATAATTTAAAATTAATTTACAATAAATAAAATAACTCTTTTTATGTTTATTTTACATATTTTTTTATTATATTCTTGAGGTGGGATTTGCTCCTATGGATACATGTTACGGACTATGACATAAATTTTGTATATGCAAAAATCAAAATCACAACTTTGAAGTTTATGCCTCTAACCCTTAAATTTTTTATCACTTGACTTGGAAATCTCACCTTATTGGCAAATACTTAAGACACTTAGATATCCTACTCAGACCCACAAGATATTGTGGAGTAATAATATTAACCACAAGATATTTTGCCTAACTTAATAGTGTTCCCGTTTCCCCACAAACCTCCAATGTTCTGCTCCTGCAGCCCAACAGAAAATTCTGAATTTTAAGGTCATCTTAATTGCCCAATTTTTTTTGAGGGGGTTGTGTTTCAAATTAGATTTTCAGAATCTAAAGTGGGTTCCATTCCATTGATTCAATTACTCAAGGCCTACCCCATAATTCCCTTCCCCAACTTGTTTTTCCAGAACTTTCTATTCAATCAAGGACAAAAACCCATTTCCTTTTTTTTTTTTGAACAGCAAAGACATATTTGATTAAGGAAAATCTGAGTACAAAGGCTACTCAAAGGCTACTCAAATCTTTCACCAATCACAAAACAAAAGCAAGTCAATTGATGTTAATCCCATCTTTTAGACCTATCCTACTCAATCCATTTTTTTTCACCACAATTCATAGTAAGGCATGAAATAGGATCAAGCGACTAATCTGAAAGATTGAAGTAGCATCTGGCTTTCCTTGCCTTAATCCATATAAAAAATCTCATTTGAATAAGTTCGAAAAGCTTACCCCTATTCATCGCTGAGTCATGGAAAATCTTTTGATTTCATGCGAGCTACACAAACAATATCACTATGTTCCATATGCAGTCCCAGCCTTTTGTAGTGCGTGAGTCTTTGTTACATGCCCCAAAATTCTCAAAAGTGTTACAGCAGTCTCAAAAACCCATTTCCTTTTTCCTCCCATCCCCACAAATTAATCTAAACCTTCTTCATATAACCTACAACATCAAATTTTTCAGTGTTTTATTTATTCATATTCATATGGCGTATAACAAGGTAGAGTATTGTCTTAAAAAACACTTGTCCTCTGCATTGACATAAAAGCAAAGACCAAAACATGCCAAATGGCTTTCCCAAAGGAGGAATAGGTGGGAGAGAGAGCAAAATATCTATTTCCATTCTGGTTCCTATTGCATCATCAGCATCACAACTAATCATGTTTTCAAAAAGCAAAAGAAATAAATAAAGTATTAATTAAAAAAGAAAAGAAATGATACTTATTTTAACAAGCTTGTTTATAAATTAATGGCATCCCATCTCACCTCTGTCTCTTTTTTCTTCTTTCTTCCTTGTTCTTCCTTCTCCTTGGCCTGTATCTACCGCTCTAAACCGTTGCTTCAACCAAAAATCTTAGCTAAAAATCTTCCCTTTTTCTGCTTTAACCAATCTCCATTTCAAGACCCATATTGAATCTGTTTATGTCACCAAATAGCATTTAGAGGGAAGTTATATAGCCCAGATTATCAAAGTTCTTTGTGTAATTTTTCTCCTTATCTGATTGTTCTTCCGGCGAAAGGGAGGGCAACCCACACCAAGTTTTGAACTTTTTGGTTCAGATAGGAGTTATGAATCCTCAAGGAAGAGTTAAAGAAGAGTTTCTTGGAGCAAGCCCATCTTTTGCTGGAATGGCTTCATCTACTGGTGCTCCTCAGCCAATAGAGGGACTCCATGATGCAGGTCCTCCTCCTTTCCTCACAAAAACCTATGATATTGTTGAAGATTCAGGCACAAATCACATAGTTTCTTGGAGCAGAGGCAATAATAGTTTCATTGTATGGGATCCCGAGACCTTTGCCATGAGTCTTCTCCCAAGATACTTCAAGCACAACAATTTCTCAAGCTTTGTCAGGCAGCTTAATACCTATGTAAGTATTATACTGATACTATTTTCTGGATTAACCCACGATTCCTTTGCATTCTTAGATCAATTTTTGGATGCTGTTTCCTTTAATAAAGTTTATGAGAGTAGTCAAATTAAGTAGTTCTCAAGATGT